ATATATTACCTGTAAGTCTGTAACCAGCAAAAAAAGGAAACAAATTTTGGGTTGCCTTTTTACCCTCACATTATATTTTTTTCATTCAACTTATTTATGCAGGGAAAATGCAGATGTACGTAGGGTTTTATTTTCTACAAAAAAAGTATTCATTATCACTTGGATAAAATTACCTTTTTACCCTTACATTATATTTTTTCATTACAGCTTATTATTCCAAACTTTGTCAATATATATAATTGCTGAATTTGAAATTCTTTTTTTTCAATATATATACAAAACGGGTAATTTGGTCAAAATGATTATACATATTAATTTCTATACCATCTAGTGAAGAATGAATACCTGCACACCCACCCATGAAAACGCATTGCTAAAATGAGAGCAGAAATAGTAACCTGAATGAACACAAGCTAATAGAACTGTAGACAAAGTAACAACATTGTTGTTAACATTTGGATTTTGCACCATGTCAGAACACAATCTGAGTGTCTTTTGTAGAGAATCCATTTTGAGAACAAACTGCAATCATTAGCGCCTTCCTACTCAAAGTTACCCGACCACAATTGGCATAAGAATCCACCAGAGTATTAGAATGCTTAGTATCTGTATTTTCTGCAAATCCATTTTTGACGACCCCATGGAGTGATCTGAATGATTAAAGTAACAGGTCAGTTGTAGTACTTAAATAAAGGAAAATACATTGTATTTTCTTAAATTGATGTAAGTCATACCTCTCATAGATTAAATAAATTAAAGTAGAGCTTTTAAAGACCATTTTGCATATTCTTTCTTTATAATTTAAGTTTTATTAAATTATAGAACTTGCAAACAATAACTGTTGACATCGAGAATGTGGGTGTTACGATCCACAATAAGAGAAACCCGTAAAAATCTTGTTAACAGTAAATTATAATGGCATGAATTATAATAGATACAAACCTGCTGCATTCTTTATCATCTTTAAGGGTTCGTAGTTCCCCTCACCCCCTATCACTTAAAGTGCATTCTAATAAATTTCATGAATTCCATGAGATCAATACATATATACCAACAGGTTAAGTGACATTAAGATATGGGCAAATTTTGAAAGGCTACTCACTTGAAGTTTCCCTCAACTTTTATATGCTTGATATTAACAGGGTTCCACTCTCAGTTTCTCCACCTGACCAACTGCCCATAAAAACAGAAACATTCAAGAAAACGCATTTCAACAAACACTTTGTCTTCATCTTTTTCAAGAATCTAAACCTAGTTTAACATTAAGTTTCAATGATCTTTTGAACGATCTCATAAGTTTTTTGGTCATTTGCATCAAACACCGGCTCCACAATCTATATACAATCAACATCATCAACAACTTTCACCGGAATAATGAAAAAAAAATGATTGTTGAAGTTTTAGTATAAAACATATTGGAATTAGAAAAGTAACAGTACACTTGGGGCATCTCCAACCCACCCCAAACTCCATTTTTTTCCTCCACTTCTTCCCCCATTCTTCTCCAACCCTATCCTATTTCCATCTCCATTTTTGGAGATATAAATAGTATTCCCCCAAATATGGGGAAATACTATTCATATCTTCAAAAATGGAGTTGAAGTTTGATTGCCAATTTTAGTCCCTCTCATTTTTATTTTATATATTTCTAGTTTATGTTATCTACTAATTATAATTTAAATGAAATATTTAATATTTATAATATCATGTTATATACTGATTTATATTAATTAATCATAAATATAGAGTTTAATATTTATTTATTGAATTCATATAAAAAATTAAATATATATTAAAAAGTAATAACTAATTTAAATTTATTATATATAAACATTTTATTTATTATAATATAATTTGAAATATTTTTGTAATGAAAA